CGCCCTCCTGGGGCAGCTCTGGCAGAGAAAACCCAAGTCTCTGTGTAGACACAAAGGAAAGCAGGCATTCCCAGACACTTCATGGTTCTCCAAGACACATTTGTAAAAATGGCCGGGGCTTCGCTGACCAGAGGCAGAGTGACTGAGTTGGCTGAGGTAGAAGACACAGCCATGGTGAGGTGGGAGCCAGAGAGCACCTGGCAGGCCGCTTTCTGGAAACGAAACCCTCAGTCTTCTTGGCTAATCACGAGCATGGCAGAGGACAGCAGGGACTGGGGAGGTTTTTCTCAGCTTCGAGTAGCCTACAGTGATGGGGTTGCCCCGGTACATGCCGCTGGAATTCGGTATCACTGGGAGGAATTCACCGATAGTTCCTCCGAGGCCGGAAACCACCCTTTCCCTCATTATTTTCTGACTGGTGAAGCCAGCTCACCCCGCAAGATGCAGCTGCAAAGCCGCCAGGCCCCCTGCTTCCTCCCTACTTCCCTCACAACCAAAGGTCCACCCTCCCCTCCTTCCCAGGGCTCTGAGAACACCTGAAACTCCTCGGCCGGGCCGACCTTGTAGAATCAACTGCTGATGGAACTCCTCCTGATTAGAATATAGGTGCTTCCTGATCAGGAACTCGGCTTTGCTTACTGCTCGTGTCTCTGCCTTCGTGGCAGTGCCTGATTTAGTAGGCACTTCACAATGTGTGTGGCGTAGAGGGAAGAAATTAAGAAGTCAGAAGTTACTTAGGAAATTGCTAAGCTAATTGATAAGTAGGTTAGGGAATTAGGTGAGGGGAGGTAAGCTACATGCTAATGACAAACGTCTCTGTGTGCAGAAAGGAATTAGCATTCGAGTGTGACTAACCACTAGGTTTAATCCTCCAGGTGGAAGTAAACTTATTTAGAAGGATTACTTATCTGGTGGCTTTCTTTGTTGGAATGAGGCGAGAAACGGGAGCCCAGCTCCAGACTGAAGAAGCCTTCTCCACATTTTGCCCCTCTCTGCTGGGTTTTCCTTCTCCGCGCCCTCTTAGGGTGCACAGTCTTTGCCTCCTAGGACTTCAAGGATAAACAGAGAGCAAGGGCCGGCTGCGGACGGTGGAATCAGAGGAGGAGAAGCAGGCGGTGGTGATTTTGCTGTTGGGCTGCACTGCGCTAAGCCCAGTCTGGAAAGTTGAGTGTGGTGTGGAGGATCCCTGGGCGCTGCAGACCTAAGGCTGGCTCTTCTTCCCCTTGGCCGATAGAACCATGGAGTCTGACTTGGAAAGATAGCCACGCTGACAAAGGTCATATCTTTCCCTTTTCCTGAAGTCACACATTAGCCGGCATCCACAAGAGGAAATTAATAGGGCTTATCTCAAATTAGAGAATCCCCAGGTGCCTTGTCCCAGGCCTCTTTTCAACATTAAGTACTCTCCAAGTTTGACTGCTTTTTGCTGGTGCATGCAGTAGAAGTTGTGGCGTTTAGCCACCAAGAGCTCTGGGTTTAGAAGTAAAACACCAGGAATTTGACAGGCTGTGCATAAGGATATGTGTGTAATACATTGAAAGGGTGGCTGATCAGAAAGGGCCGTGAGCCGCCCCTCTTCCTGCAGCCCTGCTGAGATCAATGCCTCCTGTTTCTCAAGGACCTAGACTTTCTGTCTCTGAACCACGACGATGGGGACATTTCCATCACGTGGTGGCAGCGTGCAGTCACTCACTGACGGCCGTCTACATGCTCATGTCATGGCCCAGTGACTCTCCAGCTACTGGGTTATACTTCTGGAATCTGCACCTCTCCAATCACTTGGCGGGTAACCAGGAATGCAGAAATCACTGTGATAAAATAGCATACGGCAAGTATGATTAAGAAGTAACTCTTGGGCACAACTTAAAACGGATGATCAAATGAAGCACAGATTATTTAGACATGGATCTCTCGTTTGGAACAATTATTCTCCTCCCTGGCTCACACAAATCCACTTTCAGTGGTAAATCCTTTGTAATGCATCTTTTACTACTTAGGAATGAGAACTAGAAGTCATGTGACCTTTCCAGTCACTTAAATTTTGCCTCCTCATTTCACCCCATGAGGGTAGGTAAGCTGCTCTTAGACACTCAGATCCTAGAGAATCTGAAATAGAAACCCAGCTTTCCTGCCCTATGCCTTTTATTTCTTAATGAAATTAGAAAGATGCCCTTACTCTATCTCACTGGCATACCAGATATTTCAAAATTAGTGAATGAATGACAATATTTTCCAGGATATTGGGCTTCTAAACACTCAGTTCTCACCACTGGGCTTCAAAACCAACTTAAATAATCTCTAGTGCCCACCAAAATCCTGGATTCCTGCATATAAACGAATCAGAAGGATTTGAAAATACTACAAAATCCCTTACAGTGTGTCTGAAAGAGTGAGTTCTTGAAGCATAATTGCCTTAGATGGTTAGTGGCTGATTTCCCATTGTTCTCCCTAAACTGCCATCAGGATGCCAGGGGACCCTGAGAAATGGAGGCCTCAGAGTCTGAAGGCCCCTGATACCAGGCACGGCCAGGACCTCTTCCTCACACTTAGGACAGCAAGGGGCTGGTCCCTTAACAAGACCGATGGGGATGTGGCTATTCCCTAATTACCTTTAGCCACTAGGCCTCAGGGGCACGCTGAGTACTTTTAAATTAAATTTGGCAGATGAAATATTATGGAGAGAACATTTGATTGCACAAATTCCACAATACCAGCCCTCCAAATTAAATTTGCAATCAAACGGATGCCTGTTTCAAAAACCTCAATGGGGAAAAAATCTACTTCAAACCTTCTACAGGATCAGGAGTAAACACAGGTGGAGAGAGTAAGCTCGTGGGACCTAGGAATTATTGAAGGAAACTGCAGATCCTACACCAAAGAGACGTTAGCGGTCACCTAGTGCTTCCTCACACAGCACTAAAAGAGCAACCAAGTCTGTGCCGACTCAGAGGGAACACAGAAGTGCTGCGGGCATCCGAGAACACATCCTCGGGACCTCCTCCTCCATGCAGACATTTCTCTGTGCAAGAGCTCTTCCGGCCTTTCTGCAGAGACCACTTCCTCTTAATTATAGACTCGCTCTGACAATTTAAACATCCAGGGTTAGAAGCAGCAATTTACAAAAGAGGTGGTCTGACTGCCCAAGGTAAGCAAACCAAGTGAGGGCCAGGGGAGCTAACAGCTGGCGGCCTGACATCAAGGAAGGAGGTGGAAAATTCTTTTGCAAAGCAGGGGGAGGAGGACTCACACAGGAACTCAAACTGAGCAGCAGCCTGGCTCATGTCACACGGGACAAACGGCTTCACCGAGAGCAACTCCATAATATAGGACAACGCAGTGACTGACCTAAGAGTTTAGTTTATGCTCAATCTATTTGTCAGCAAAGCCAGCAAGATTCGATACAACGGCTAGAGTCTTTGAGCATCAGAATCGGGAGATCCTTGAGACAGTCCCTGGTTTAATATTTTTATTTCACAAATAAGGAAGTGGAATACACAGGGGTGGGCTTGAGGTAGGAACCTAGTGCTCCATCCACAGGGACGTCTTGTCAGCTGATGCCACTGAGGGTGAGACAGAGATGACATCACCTTGAATCATGGATTGTGTCATTGCTTTTGACATCTCTGTTTTTGCTTCCTTGCATTGACTCACCCCCTTGAAAAGGAGAAGAAGGCTGCTCTCTTTATTCACAAAAGAGTGAACTATTGTTCCCTGGTTTGTGATGAGAGAACCTCAGGGTTGGCCCTTAACAAAATTGAGACTGAAGGTAAAGTTGCTTTGAGTTCCCTCCTACGTCCTCCCACATCCCACTCCTGGTGTGTCTTCTCCAAGCTGTCCTATGTCTGTCCTCCAACTGGTTGTCCCACGCACTGGCCCCCGGCACAGACTGCCTAATACAAAATTGGAAACTCTTCCAGCTCCCAGAAGTTTGGTGTATTCTCAATGTGTTTCTAACTCCACCTCGCACTGCATCACAGAATGAGGCAATATTCCAGTGTTTTTCAGATCTAAGTGAGCATTAACATTGCCTGGGTAGCTTGTTGAAGTGCAGGGTCCTGCTTCCAATCTCTGGAAATTGGGATTCAGTAGTTGATTCTGGTGGATGTGCACCCTGGACCACCTTTGGAAAACACAGGGCTACTGCTTGCCCATCATCTCCTCCTCACACACCCATGCACACTCCCTTCCACCCAATACTTCATCCTGTCTCTCTCCACCATGTCTCTGCCTCATGTCCCATCTTCTAAGTCCAATTAACTCCTCCCCATACAAGGAGCTAAGCATGTGTCTTTCGTCTCTACTCTCACAGCTCCCATACATTGCTAAGCTCGTGCAGCCACCCACGGGGGCTGACTTTCTGGCCTATCTGCCCTTGAGGCTGGAGTGTGTGTCATATGTCTTTCTCATTGCCAGCCGTTAGCACTCTGCCAACCAATCTAAAATGTTTGTTGAATTACCTTCTGCATGTGTTAAATGTGCTTGTCAGTAACTAGTACTTTATTTATATTTGCATTTTTCTGTAACTCCTCAACACAGTACAGCATTTTCAGATTGCTAGAATCATCATCCTCAAACAAGGATCACCTTCTGTAATATGTAAAGGCTGAAGGGATGGATGCTATTTATAATATAACCCTGGTGCTATCAAGGATGGGGACTGTACTGAAATCCACTGTCTGCATCCACTCAGGATATCTGACCACAAAGGAACACAACAGACATGCATAACAACTGGGAATTTTCCTACGGAAACATCAGTTTCCAGTAGTTTGGCAGAATGAGTTCTGTTTGCCTTCCCAGGCATTCAGGTAAAAAGTTTTTCAGAAGTGAAGTGAGAAGAGATTAGATTTGATCTTGATGCAATTCACAGACACAAGCTTTGTGTATTGGTCCTAAGATTCCTGAGATTCCCAGTAATTCGGGGCCAAAGATCATTCACCAACCGCCAAGACATTGGCTTATCTCCCAAAGTCCACTGTCTGTGTGTTTGTCCCTCGCAGGCGTCTGCTATGCAGAGTTTGGAGTCCGAGTCCCCAAGACCACGGGGTCGGCCTACACCTACAGCTATGTCACTGTTGGGGAATTTGTGGCGTTCTTCATTGGCTGGAACCTGATCCTGGAGTACCTGATTGGCACTGCGGCTGGCGCCAGCGCTCTGAGCAGCATGTTTGACTCGCTGGCAAACCACACCATTAGCCGCTGGATGGTGGACAGCGTGGGAACCCTCAACGGCCTGGGTAAGACTGCACATCCTCCTACCCCAACATGCAAACTTAGCAAGCCAGAGAAATGGGTCCTTCCAGAACACAATTTGGCAGAATACATCTAGGACCTTAAATATCTCTTTTTGTCTCTTGTAAAGTAATTCTTCCTCTGAGAATCTATCCGTTCTAAAGAAATTACCCTAATGTCCACAAAGTCGTTATACCAGAGATGTTCATCAGAGCCTTATTTACAGTAATAAGAACATTAGAAACAGCCTAAATTTTCAATAGCGGGAAAATTATTAAGTAAATTGCAGATATGTATTATGTAGCTAGCAACTAAGAGGATTACTATGCAGGCCATTGAAATAGCATGGACTTTGTTTTAATATAATGTTGTATGTCAAAGAATACAAACCATACATGCATCACATCAGTAACTACATAAAAATACAATCAATGCTAGAAAAAGGACTGTAAGGAATTTGCCTGATGTTTTCATCAGAAGATTTTTTTTAAACTTTCATACATAGCATGGATTAATTTTCAAAACTTCTGTAAAAAAAAAAACCTTTTTTTATTTAGTAAATATAAATTTCCAAAGTACAGCTTATGGATTACAATGGCTTTTCCCCCCCATAACTTCCCTCCCACTCGCACCCCTCCCATCTCCCGCTCCCTCTCCCATTCCATTCACATCAAGATTCATTTTCAATTATCTTTATATACAGAAGATCGATTCAGTATATATTAAGTAAAGATTTCATCCGTTTGCACCCACACAGAAACACAAAGTGTAAAATACTGTTTCAGTACTAGTTATAGCATTACTTCACATTGGACAACACATTAAGGACAGATCCCAGATGAGAAGTAAGAACACAGTGACTCCTGTTGTTGACTTCACAGTTTGACACTCTTGTTTATGGCGTCAGTAATCTCCCTAGGCTCTAGTCATGAGTTACCAAGGCTATGGAAGCCTTTTGAGTTCGCCGACTTCGGTCTTATTCCGACAGGGTCACAGTCAAAGTGGAAGTTCTCTCCTCCCTTCAAAGAAAGGTACCTCCTTCTTTGATGGCCCCGTTCTTTCCACTGGGATCTCACTTGCAGAGATCTTTCATTTAGGTCTTCTAAAAAAAAAAAAAAACTTTTAAGGAAACAAATTGGGTTCCAATCTAACAGAAGTCGAGGGGTCAACTATAACTGAATGACAGCTCAAAGATCAGAAGCTCACCTAATCAGTGCAGTGGACTCTAGTTCCCTCTGTCACTTGCCACCCACCTTCCATCCCAATATCTGACTCCATCCTTTCACACTCACGGGAGGCTAAGCTTTGGAGTCTTGCCTGGGAACTTCTAAGGCGTGATTCGGCAGCTGTGTCAAGTCCTTTGGCTTCAAGGTCCCTGTCTCAGAAAAACTGGCAAAAAATGCAGGGCATGCAGATACCTAGAGGAGATTAAAAATATATAAAAAAGACCGTGTCCGTTCACTACACTGACATCATGGAACTTTCTTTCCGAAGGAGTTCTCCAAAATCACATCATCTGTCTCCATCGCACAGATGAGGTCTGAAAAGACGAGGCAACTGAAGCCCGGCCACAGAGCGGGCTGCCGGCAAAAGCGCAGCAGAAAGCTGTTGGCTGAGGCAGTGCCTCGTCCACTCCATAGAGGGCAGGAGTCCACTGGCCAGTGGGCGAGACCCAGCGGGCGGGGTGTGTTCACTGGTCATTTTCTCTCTGCAGCACATGCACACAGATGGAAAGAGAAGCCCTCTACAGTTGTCATCAAAGACACATTCTTAAAGTTTCTAATAAAAAATAAAGGGCTGTTGTTGGAATGAAATGAAATTTTACCAACTGTGTAAAGTTAATGATAGTGAAGATAGGATCATTTTCAAGTATCATGTGAGTCCTATGAAGCACCCTCAGATATGCTGGGACCATCCTGACATCAAATGTTCTGTGCTTTGAGTCCATCAGTGCTGCTGTAATTGTCACATCACACATCCCACCCTTCTCAGCGCTGAGTGCAGGTGCATCAGGGTGAGACCAGGAGTTTGCACGGCCCTCTCTGCCCTCTGGAAAACGTTAAAACCTGTTTTTGCCCTCTAGGGAAAGGTGAGGAATCCTACCCAGACCTTCTGGCTCTGGTGATCGCCGTCATTGTGACCATCATCGTGGCGCTGGGCGTGAAGAACTCCGTGGGCTTCAACAACGTCCTCAATGTGCTGAACCTGGCGGTGTGGGTGTTCATCATGATTGCAGGCCTCTTCTTCATCAATGGGAAATACTGGGCTGAGGGCCAGTTCTTACCCCACGGCTGGTCAGGGGTGAGTTCATCCCTAAGGCCTGGTGCACCTGCCACATGCCCTGCCTTCCACCCTGCAACCAGCCTAGCAGCTAGGGTCAAGAAATGCTGCTCTGCCCTGTACCTATCAGGGACACCCTTCATCACCTTTTAACATTACAACTTTCTCAAGAGGTAGCTCTTTTTTAAAAATGTATTTGGTTCTTAAGCATATGTTGAGGCCCTGTTTTATACAAGGAGCAGTAATAGATTCGTTGCTTTGGCCACTTGCAATATGCTGACACTGTGCTCAGTGCTTTGAGTGTAGTATCTGGTGAGGAAAATATTGACATTGAGATCTTCAAGATGAAAAAACACCTTACACTCAGAGAGGTCACGTGATTTGCTGCATTGGCAGAGTGTAAGTAGCAGAACCATTAACCCAAAGTGTGTGCAAGAACAACTCAGGTCTGTAGAACTCCTTACCATCTCCTAAGAGACACTGATGGAGGCACTAGACAAGGCAGTAAAGGAGGCCAGGGAGAGTAGACTGGTGAGGAAGGGGTGAGTAATCCAGTCCCCATGGTGGGAGGTGGGGCCTGAGGGAGCTAGAGTGGGTCCGGCAGAGTTATAAATCCCATTCCAGAGACGTGGCTGATGGCAGAGAAATCTACTGAGTGTGTGTGTGTGTGGGGGGGGGGGGTTGGCAAGAGAGTGGGCTGGGCCAAAAGCACAGTGTCACATCGCATCTCTGTGGCTTGGGTTGGATGTTTTATGCTGAAGAGGAGAACATCAGAGTGGCAAGTGCTGTATGCAGACCAGTGGTTGAGTTGTGCCTGGTTTCTTTCCCTAGTATTCCTAGAAATGCTTATTGTATCTATTTATTGTTAAAATTCATCAAGCCGTTTTTAACTGTCGAACATAAGTCAGATTGCTTGGGGCTGGCAGGAATCTGAAAGGTACCCTGGTCTTGACCCCACACTTAACATGTTACTGACCTGAGACCGAGAAAGGCAGGTCTGCCCAGGCCTGGAGGCAGAAACACGGCCAGGATCCCACCTGTTTTTGCTTTTGTAGCTTCTGCTTAGGCTGGTTTTCCTCCAGGATTCCCAGGGATGAGAAATCTGTCTTGGAGAGCACCAGAATGACTTTTCTTCACTCTGAACAACCAGGCTCTGCTGTTCAACGCAGAGGAATAAGCCAGACGGCAGTGCAAGCCCAGATTTCTCATCTTCTGCTTATCTGTAAGAATTCCACAGAAGCACAAAGTGCATCCTCCTCTTGGAATGAATAAATGCTGAGGCAGGTGAAAACCAGAAGAAAAGACAAAGGAAAACTGTTGGCCCCATTCTGGATCTCCAAGTCTATATTTTCTTAGGGTACAAATTGTTCCATTCCTATCACATAAGATAAACAACAAATTAGAGGAGTGAAAAGAATGTTTTCCTTGAACTCTGTTGCTTTCATCAAAGCATAGGAAAATGTTCTCACCATTTTCTTAAGAATCTAAGAAATTATTAGGTCATGGACTTATGATAAGACTTTGGCCATCCTGTACCTGCCTTGCTTGCAGATTTTCAAATCTATCAAGTGGAAAAACTAATTGTTGCAAGAATGCATGAAGCAGAACAAAATCTTTGGTGTTTTATGTGCACGTTGTAATGGTTAACAACAGGTGAAATGGCAGGAGGAGGGAGCTAGTCCTTATTGACTCCCTGAGAGGTGCCTGGCATTGTGCACTATAGATATTCTCTTACTCTTTAAGGAAGGCATTGTTGTATCCAACTTGTAAATCGAGAATAAGAAGTTTGGAGAGGCCGGGTAACTTACCTGTCTATCATGGCCAGGCCGAAATTCCCGCCCAGCTCTTAGTGACCCCAAGCCCTTTCCATCCTGAGTATCGCATATACTCTATGAGCCTTCTTCAAAAAATAAATAAATAAGAGAGCAGATGTTGGGGCTAATAATAAAACTCCAGTTAAAACGCTCTTGTCCCAGATCAGAGTCTCTTGAGTTGGATTCCCAGCTCTAGCTCCTGACTCCAGCTTCCTGCCAAAGCAGAGCCCGGAAGACAGTAAGGATGGCTAGAGTAACTGGGTTCCTGCCTCCATGTGGGAGACCTGGGTTGCATTTACAGTTCCTGGCTTCAACCAAGCCCAGCCCCAGGCCCAGCCCTAGACTCAGCGATTGTGAATATTAGGAAAGTAAACCGGCAGGTGTGAGCTTTCTCTCTCTCCATGACCCCCTGTTAAATAAGCAGCTAATAGGATCATTAACCTGACATGTTATGCTTCCTTTAAACCTCCACAGAGTCATAGGTCTGTGGAGCTGGAGGAGCGTTAAGAGATAGTGTAGTCTCTTTTCTTACCTTCAGCTGGGGGTACCGTTAAGCCAACCCAGCTGAGTGGACATTGTTTAGGAAAACATCCTTTCAAAGCCTTTCAAAAACTTCTCTTAATTATGAGATTCGTATTTTATTTTCAAAATCCTCCTAATAACTCCCCTCAGCGGCACATGCTATAGAGTTGCTGTCCCCTATGTAAATGCCCTGTACCCATTCTGAAGAAAGCGAGCACACCTTCCCTGTGCCTTGTCCCAGGGTCTTTATTCTCCTTGGGTCTCTTCTTCCCTCCTCAGGCGCTCCATAGCTTCCCTCAGTTAGGAGCCTGCCTCACTGAGGAAAAGGCAATGGAGCCAGCCTACTTGTACATCCCATCCCGGCTTCACAGCTTCGTGACAGATCCAAAGTCAGGCGCAAAAAGGAAAGGAAAGATGACATCCCTAACACTTGACACTTCCTTTGTGACAAACTCTTAGATACACGCTTTATTTAATCTTCACAACAGCCCTACAAAATGAGTACAATGATCTCCACTTTTACAACAAAAAGACTGAAGCTTGGAGAGGTGAAGGTGGTAGATCTAAACCCTCAGTGCTAGAGCTGAAATTCCACCCCAGCCCGGATGAACCCAAGTCCAAGTTTACTCCTCTGCCACCCAGTGTGGGCCCATAAGCGCAGTCATCTGGCTTTGCACCTCTGGCCACTAACCTCTCTCCAGCCCAAACCTACCAACTTGGGTACTTTTGTCATTGACCACCAAAAAAAATTTGGCCGGCATTTTGATTTTTTGCTGCAAATCCATGATCCCTGAAGAAAAACTCCAATGGGTGTCCCCCCACCCCCGTGGCTGTGACTTAAAGTAGCATGTGAGCACAAAGGACAGCCGGCGCAGTGGCAGGCTGTTTAGTTCATGCTCTCTGCTCTCTGCCCGGCCATGGATTTTGCATAGTACATTTCCCCACTAGAGAACGGACCTGCCCCCTTCTTTCTCAACTCTGGTTCCAGATCACTTTCCCAAGTCCAGCAAGGCTGCTCCGAGTGTACATCCTGCTTTTTAAGACCTGATGCCCTCTCAGGAGCATATTATCCATCCGGGTGACAAGCACGTCGCCCACCCACTCTTAGCTAACAAGGCTCAGCAGAAGTATGTTGCCCACTTGGCAGCCACAGGGCCTTCTTCTCTCCTTAGGGAAACTGTGACCCCTGCCGCTGCCCAGGGGACTAGAGCGGACCTCCAATCCACTTTGTCCTAACATCGCTGCCAGTGGATGGCATGGGAGACGCCGCTGTGGAGGGGATGATGTGTAAGGATGTGCGATTTGAAACACAACTCTCAAGGGCTTTGAGAGGGTTAATGAACAATCTGTCCTGTGGCCATGGACCCCTCATAAGCCTCCTTTCTCCTGCTCCAGCCCCTTCCTTCCAAAGAAAATAGCTCCGGGAGTGGTTTACTCACAGGTTCTGGGTCAAATGCGTCTTTGGTCTTGAAGAGCTTCAGAACAACAAACAGCTTTCCCTCTCTCGGGTAACTCTGGCCCTCAGCTGAACCCCCGCTTCCACTGTAGCTCCTCAGCCCCCAGACATTGCTGGATGTGTTCTCCCTCTGTGCTATTTTTTCTTGATGCTATCTTATGGTTTTGCTTTAGCCAAATAAGAGACTCTACCAGCACAAATAGCTTCCAGGAAAATGGCCCGTAGCAAGCATTGGTGGGGAATTCTGACAGCCTCCAAACAAAGGCAAAGTTGTTTTTCATGATCTCCACATCTGAATCCATTTGCTGGAACCGATTAGCACATTCCATTGTCACTGTGGACAGGCGGCTGCTGGAGCTGAGGCACGGGGGTGGCAGACAGTGCTGTGTTAAAGTTGGAGTTTTGTCTTGTTACCTTGGGAGTGAATTCTATAATTATGTCTTATCATCTCCTAGGCATCTGGCAGTCTGGCCAAGGCGGACTATGGGAGGACTGCCTCATGCTAATGCCTCTCAAACCCCAGCATGGAGTAGGCAGCAGATGTAGGGATCCCACACAGTGGGCAGCAGGCCGGTAATGACACTGCTTTTAACAACTAATTAAGCAGCAGCCCTCCAGCACCCGGGACACTGCGGCTTCCCAGCAACGCCCTGTGGAGGGCTGAGCCCACTCTAGAGAGCCTGGCTGAGCATCTGCACCAGGTTTGCTTTGAAACACAGTTTCAGCTCTGTCGTCAAATTGAAGTGAATCTCATTTTTTTAAATTAGTTGAAGCATTAAAGGGAAGAGTTAGGATAAAATGCCAGTGAAGCCAGAAACACACACACACACACACATTTAGCCACCAACTTTATTCACAGATGCTCACACCCCCCTCCCCACCCCCCACCCTAGGTACCACACACGTTCTTTCATGCAGGGAAGGGAATTCTAATCATAAATTGCAATGATCAGATCTGAGATCCAGATCGAATGATGTGGAAAAGAGGTTTTAGTGATTATTTGGGTAGAGACACATCCATGCGCCGTTTCATTCCGTGCCTCCTTTGTATTTACCAATACAGGCCATTTGCTTGTAGGGAAGAAAAATTTGTTCGAACTAACTCTAGGAAATAGTGAATATTTTTGCTAATGTTAATGACTTCTCTCTGATAGTCAGTGTCTTTAGGCCAGGGCCTTTTTGACCTTGGTGGGTGAGCTGGTCTTTCTCCGTGTACCTCCACTTCCCAGACCTATTCCCCACCCTATACGCTCTGTTCTGTGTGCCAGAAGAGCCCGTGCTGGTTGCTTCCTGTTGGACTCAGCCGATGGCAGATCACAGGGGAAAGATAATGCAGTCAGGGTTCTTCTTCCTGGCTCCCTCCCAGTCATGTCACCACACTTGCTGTGCACCTCCACATCACCAGCTCCCACTAGACTCCAGGAGCACCGTTCTACCCTGGCCCATGGCCTAGGGATGGCAACGCTTCTCAATGTCACTAGTCTATAATGCCTAGCATCCCTAGATGGCTCCCTTATATACTGGTTTACAGTTGCCTGTAGTCCCTTCACTGAAATTATTTCATCTGAATCATCTGAGTTAAGTTCTATTGCCTGCCAAATGCAACAGGAACTCCAAATGTCCTACCTTTGATTTGTCCAATCTTCTCATCAACTATAATGGTTTTCTAGTTCTACATATGCAAATACAGGCTAGCTCAAATGCCCACAACAGTCTGGACTAGGCCAAGTTGAAGTCAGGGGCCAGGAATTGCATCCAAGTCTCCCACATGGTGACAGGGACCCAAGTACTTGGACCATAATCCACTGCCTCCCAGGTACATTAGCAGGAAGCTGGATCAGAAGTACAGAATAACCAGGACTCAAACTAGGCACTTCAATATGGGATGTGGGCCTCCCAGGAACAACTTAACCTGCTGTGCCACAATACCCAATCCGGCCACAGTTCTTATCTCCATTTGGTACCTGGGAGCATTAGCCAGCATCACTCCACTAGGAAGTAGAAGAGATCAGAACTCGGGCATTCAGCAGTAGCTCTACCACATTACCCATTCTATACTGCTTGCAGGAGATGGGGCCCGGGCACTGCCTTGCCTGTCTGCATCTGACCAATGCCATCATCCATACAGGTGCTGCAGGGAGCAGCCACGTGTTTCTACGCTTTCATTGGCTTTGACATCATCGCCACCACTGGAGAGGAAGCCAAGAATCCCAACACATCCATTCCCTACGCAATCACTGCCTCCCTGGTCATCTGCCTGACAGCTTATGTGTCTGTAAGTACCAAATGCTGCTGGCCTGTTTATGCTTGACCTTGAAATGTGGCTCTGGTTGTGAGTTCCCTTTTCCATCTTAGCGTTTGTATGCTGGTGTCTCCTGCCCCCATAGCCTACCCACTGATGACAAGCAGGAAATCAGGACCCCAAACTGGAGAGAAAGAGAAGCCACAGAGCCTCACTCCAGCCTCAGCCTCCAAGTCTCCATTCTTGGCGCTCCCTGTGCACAGGCCCTTCATGTCCACCACTGCCCCAAGGCGTGGTGTGCAGAGTGGGCCACCGTCCAAGGAGCTCAGGTCATAGGCTGGCGGTAACGGGTGTGTGTGAGCACAGGCATTGTGCGTCTCTGTGCACATCCGTCAATGCTCTTCTGTCTTCTGGGAGCTTCCCGGCAGCAAAGAGGCTGGGCTCCTGCAGAGCGGGGAGAGAGACGACATTGTCCTCTAGTACGCGCTTCCCTTGGAATCTGGGCAGGAAGATGCAGCCTCTCCCGGCTGATGCTGCCTTCCGTGCCCTCAGCTCAAACTCATCCTCCGGGTTTCCCTGCCCCAGGGGAGGCCTCAGGAGAAAGCCTGCATCCTTCTCTCCTTGGGGTCACACCCGAGGCACCTCCCCACACTTAGATGGCTCAGCATTTCTAGCCCAGAAATTGTTCAGCCACATCCAACACTCCCATTCCCCAGCCTCTGGCCAGCTGGCAAGCAAAAGCACTCCCAGGTCCCGAGGGCCCTGCTCACTTGGGTCACCACGATAAGAGACACTGGTCACTGGGGTGCAGCCTGTCAGCCCTGCCATCCATCTCTCCCAAGAAATCTTCTCTAGCAACTCTAAGGGACCCAGAACCACCTCTGGCTGAGTCACGCTGTGAAAGAGGATCGCCCTGAAACTCAGAGAAAGAGCCAGTAGCCTTGGAGGTGGTCTACAGAAAGTCGGGTGTTTTCTGCCCTCTCATGTGCACACACACAAGTGACTTCACCCTGTCCATATGCGGTTATCCCTGTGGGCAGTGTGTTGAGAGAGGGGCAGAGGAGTAGTGGGCAACAGACACACTCCGCTCTGCATTTCCCCATCTACCCTTCCCTCACATCCGCCCCTCATCCAGGGGCGGACCCTTGCCTCCCACACAGTGAAGTTCCTTCCTTAGCGTAGCACTGGAGAGACTGTGGCACGTTGCTATGCATCTACCAACTTCACGACCGTCTGGATCTATGATGGCCAGAAGGCTCAGTGTGAGTCTCTCTAAGAACCAGTCCCCCACTCCTCCAGCCCCAGCCAGTCCACCCATTGCCACGGGGATGCTGTCAGTGGTCACGTTTCTGGGACGCATTCTCCGTCAGATGGTGCGGACGTAACCACACAGGCCTCGGGGACTGTTTGGTCTCATACTGCTCAGCAGCAGCCACTCCACCACCACGTGAGGGGCCAGCTCCTGGGCTGTGATTCTCTGTCCTGCCCAGTGCCCATGGCGTCACTGGGAGACTTTAGCTCACAACAGGAACAGGAACAGACAAAGACGCGCTCTGCAAATGACCACCCCTCCTTTTCAGGCTTTGAGCTCCCTTCTTGAGGTCATGTTTGCCCTCCCCTGGCCTGGGGAGCCTGGTATCCAGTCAGTTGACCAATGGCTGCATTTTCTGGGGCCAGTTCTGAAAGGAGGGGTGTTGTGGCAGATCTATGACATGTGGAGGAAGATTGGTCCAGGTTCCCCAGCCAAGTAATTCCTGGTCAAGCAAAGCCACCCAGATCTTAGAACCCAAGAGGCAGACTGGATTCATCTTGATGCCATCATTTCTCTGCTGGCCTGCCTGGCTACCAGGCCAAAGCTAGGAAGAGGAAAGTGAAGTGCGAGTCCTCAATGGGGTTCCATCAGTGAGTTGACGATGGATTTCCTAAGCAGCTACCTTTGGGGTTTTGATCTCTGGTGTTCAAGGCCCTGGAAGTATAAAAGATGTCTCGTCCACATGAACAAGGTGTTCGTGGTCACTGCCAGGCCCTGGTGGCAGTGCCAAGGGCTACAGATCCTCCCATCTGGTAGTGCTTGCCCCCACCTCTCCCCCACTGAATTTCGTGGGGCTGAAATACCTGCAGGCTATTTCTCACATTTGAAAGGGCCACAGAGAGATCTTGGTGATTTCCTCTCCAATGGGCCATCTGTCCCTGCTTTCCGTCCCCCTGCCCTCCGTGCCCTCTAACCTCCAGCCATGTCTTCTCTCGTTTGGGTAGGTAAGCATGATCCTAACACTGATGGTGCCATGTTACGCCATTGACACGGAATCCCCACTCATGGAGATGTTTGTGGCTCATGGTTTCTACGCTGCAAAATTCGTGGTGGCCATCGGGTCTGTTGCAGGGCTGACGGTCAGCTTACTGGGCTCCCTCTTCCCTATGCCGAGGGTCATTTACGCCATGGCTGGTGACGGACTTCTCTTCAGGTAAGGGCTGTGCTCCATGAAGTTTGTCCTACTCTGCCCTGCTTATTCCAGGGAGAATGTCCCCCCTCATCAGTCTGACTGTATACTCGATGTGAGTGCCTTTCACGTGGACCGTGGACCTAGTCACACATCCTGGGAAAGAGATCAAGTGAAGAGAGCGCAGGCCTCAGGGTCTGTCAATCCTGCGCGAACCGCTGTGTTCCCAGCTGCCTTTCTCCTTCCTCTTCGACTTTGTGTGCTCCCTTGTGAAGACAGCAGCTGTCAAACTGCTGCACTGTGTAGCCCCCAGGAGGAAGAACCTATCCCAGGGACATCATAGACTAGCCTCACCTTGGGGCCTGGTGCCCTCCTCTCTCTCCACAGCCCCTCTGAAGCTGAAACAAAAAGAAGCTAAGACTCTCTGCACAGAACCTAGTAATTATAGCATCCACCGCTTCCATGTATCCTGGGGTTTTGTGTTTAGAGTCCTGTTGCATCCTCACACTCATCTTTGCAAATGAACTTGGGGGGAAGGGGCAGAAAAAATGTGCCCCAAAACCCCCAGCTGATGAGTAGAGGGGAGGGGAGCCAGGATCTGAACCCAGAACTATCTGACTCCCCAAATCAGACTTTCAACCAATATATTGCTAATTCTTGCCTCCTACGCTAGCCATGAAGTAACCCATCTGCCCCTGCATGGTACAGAAAGGATGTGGCCCCAACTCTTGGTCCCCAGTGCCCACCATGTGAGGCCATGGAGCTCTCGGGGTGCAGAGGGAGCTGGCTTGGTGACTTTATCTCCACCACCAGCTGTTATCTTTTGCATTTCCTCTGCACGGCCCTGAAGCCATCACCGGGCCATAGGTGCTTGGTTGGGCTGCTGAATAGATCAAGAAGGGGCTTACAGTGAGGGAGGTGCAGCAACTTTACACATCCGAAGTTTTCTCCAAAGAAAACTACGAGGAAAGCTGCTGGTGCCTAGGCAGAGAAGACACATGCGGCGTGACCGCACTGAGGTGTGGCATCTAGAACACTTGATCTGGGAGCGGGCGTTTAGCCTAGCACTTCAGATGCCCATGTCCCACATCCAAGTGCCTGGGCTGCATTCCTGGCTTCAGGAACCAGGAAACTGACTCCAGTCTCCTGCCAGTGCAGACCTTGGGAGACAGCAGTAATGACTCAAGTAATTGGGTTTCTGCCTCCCACCTGGGAAGCCTGGATTGGGTCCCCAGCTCCTGGCTCCAGCCCAGCCCCGACTACTGCAGGCACCGGGGAATGAAGAAGCTCCCCCCACGTAATCGCCCTGATTTGTCCTCTCTTCAGTTGGCAGCAGGCAGGCCTGGGGCCTGGATCTGTGAGCACAGGTGTTTTATTATTATCTGTTTTGCCAACTGAACCCCTGGACCTTTGTGGTAAGGCAGTGTTTCTCAGGTTTTAGTGTACAGCAGAATCCTCCAGAGGTCTTCTAACGCACAGTCAGCCGAGCCCCACCCCGCCCTGATTCTGATGTACTAGATCTTGGATGAAACCTGAGAATGCATCTAACAAGCTCCAAGGTGATGTTGATGCTGCTAACCCTCAAGTCCAGGGCCCCCGAGCACGTTATGACTTCCTCCGACTGTCCCTTTTGAACAGCAAGGCCTGGGCCTCCGTTGAGCTCTCTCTGAAAGACCTGCTACAATCAATCCACTCTTCTTATCCCGTAAGAAAGTAGGAACTTTAATAAAAAAAAAAAAGTTGCCTCAAAACCAAGGAACTCGCGTGAATTCTCATTAAATTATATTTCGGGAGCCAAATCCTGAGACAGGGATAGCAGATGGACTTAAAGTATGAATGCAGGGGCAAGCATTTGGCCTAGAAGTTAAGACTCAGGTTGAAGTGCCCATGTCCCATAACAGAGTGCCTGGGTTCAGTTCCCAGCTCCAGCTCCCAACTTCAGCTCCCAGCTAAGGTGCATCCTGGGAAGCAGCTGTGGCGGCTCAAGTGATGGGGTTTGTGCCACCCACATAGGACAGCTGGATGGAGTCCTAGCTCCTGACTTCAGCCCAGCCCAATCCCATTGCAGGCATTTGGAAAGTGAACCAGCAAATGGGAGCTAGTGCTCGCTCGCTCTCTCTCTCTCTCTCTCCCGATAAATAGAGAAGGATCTAAGAGTGTTCTCTAAGTGCTTCCCAAGTGATGAACATGCTCAAGTAAAACCATGCTCACAAGGATTTTAAAAAATAATAAAATATAGGAGAAAATACTAAGAAAGCAGTGACTGCAGAAGTTAACTGAGGGACAGGATGAGCAGGAACTCAGCACATCAGCCTCCTGACACTTCTGGCCCCTACCTCAGCAGTGTTAGATGCATCCAGCATGGGCAGCCCACCATTAACTCTCTGCTTGCACCTGCCCTCCAGGTTCCTGGCTCACGTCAGCTCCTACACAGAGACACCGGTGGTGGCCTGCATCGTGTCAGGGTTCCTGGCAGCTCTCCTCTCGCTGCTGGTCAGCCTGAGAGACCTGATAGAGATGATGTCCATCGGCACGCTCCTTGCCTACACTCTGGTCTCTGTGTGTGTCCTGCTCCTTCGATACCAGCCCGAGAGTGACATTGATGGTTTTGTCAAGTTCCTGTCCCAGGAGCACACCAAGAAGAAGGAGGGTGTTCTGGCTGACTGCGAGAAGGAAGCATGTTCTCCTGTGAGTGAAGGGGAAGAGTTTTCCGGCCCAGCCACCAACACGTGTGGGGCCAAGAACCTGCCATCCTTGGGAGACAATGAGATGCTCATAGGGAAATCAGACAAGTCAACCTACAACGTCAACCACCCCAACTACGGCACTGTGGACATGACCACAGGCATAGAAGCAGATGAATCGGAAAACATTTATCTGATCAAGTTGAAGAAGCTGATAGGGCCCCGTTACTACACCATGAGAATTCAGCTGGGCCTTCCAGGCAAAATGGACCGGCCTACGGCGGCGACAGGGCACACGGTGACCATCTGCGTGCTCCTGCTCTTCATCCTCATGTTCATCTTCTGCTCCTTCATCATCTTTGGTTCTGACTACATCTCAGAGCAGAGCTGGTGGGCCATTCTTCTGGTTGTTCTGATGGTGCTGCTGATCAGCGCCCTGGTGTTTGTGATCCTGCAGCAGCCAGAGAACCCCAAGAAGCTGCCCTACATGGCCCCTTGCCTGCCCTTTGTGCCTGCCTTTGCCATGCTGGTGAACATCTATCTCATGCTAAAGCTCTCCACCATCACATGGATCCGGTTTGCAGTCTGGTGCTTTGTGGGTAAGCAGCCTCCTCTGGAGCCTTGGGAGCTCCCTTTTAGGTCTTGGACGGGTTTATCCAAAAACCACCTCCTAAGCAGACTAGGCAACTCCATCTCTAGCGAAATCTGGCTGGTTCTATAGACCACTGCTTTCTGCGGTAGAGTTGATAAAGCCGGTGTCCTCTCTCTGCCTGTGGTGGTCTTGGCCATTTGTGTGGGAAGAATGATGCTGATCAATCCATCACTTACATGAGGATAAACAGTGCCAAGAAAAGTCCATTAAAGTGAATCCATATTTTAAGAAAGGACAAAAATAGCATAGTAAAAGTGAGGGAGAGATAAGTTGATTGGAGTTCTATCTTAGAAACTAAAATCCATGACGTAAGAATTATTAAAATGCACTCATATTTGATAAAAGTAAAGCAATCATCATGTTCTAATTTTAAGTGAGCAATGTTTTTTATGAATTAGACATGGATTTATTGGCATTATTTTTCTCATAAAATTGAATCATGACACCATTTAACAGCCCTCTCTTCATGTGGACTTTTGTAAAATACTCAAGAGCTTTTCATTTTTTCCCAAGGCCCTTTCTTCATCATTTGTATTTCAATCATTTCCTTGGAAAGTATCCATCCTGCCATCCTCCTTGTTGATTTTCCCTCTCCTGCTGTCAATAACTGGTATCACTCCATTAGTTCTTCATTTGTCCATAGCTTGTGTTGTGTATTTTGTTTGTGAGTTTTTTTTTATCTTTTATTTAATGAATATAAATTTTTCCAAAGTACGACTCATGTGGGTTACAATGGCTTTCCGCTCCCCTATCCCTCCCAGCCACCAGAGAGACTTCCCCTTTCCCACTCCCTCTCCCCTTCCATTCACATCAAGATTCATTTTCGATTATCTTAATATACAGAAGATCAGCTTAGTATACCTTAAGTAAGTATTTCAACAGTTTGCCCCCCACACAGAAACATAAAGTGAAAAATAATAGATGATTTTTTTAAAATGATGATGAAATCAGATCAGACCTATTGTCATGTTTAATCCCAGTGAGAGTCAAGGTGGGAATTGAAAATTTCCTTCTTTTTTTTTTTTTTTTTTTTTTTTTTTACAGAAGATCAGTTTAGTGTACATTAAGTAAAGATTTCAGTCGTTTGCACCCCCATAGAAACACAAAGTGAAATATACTGTTTGAGTACTCGTTATAGCATTAAGCCTCAGTGTACAGCACATTAAGGACAGAGATCCTACATGAGGAGTAAGTGCACAGTGACTCCTGTTGTTGACTTTACCAATTGACACTCCTGTTTATGGCATCAGTAATCTCCCTATGCACCAGTTATGAGTTTCCAAGGCTATGGAAGCCCCTTGAGTTCTCCGACTCTTATCTTGTTTAGACACGGTCATAGTCAAAGTGGAGGTTCTCTCCTCCCTTCAGAGAAAGGCACCTCCCTCTTTGAAGACCTGTTCTTTCCACTGGGATCTCACTCACAGAGATCTTTTTGCCAGAGTGTCTTGGCTTTCCATGCCTGAAATACTCTCATGGGCTTTTCAGCCAGATCCGAGTGCCTTTAGGGCTGATTCTGAGGCCAGAGTGCTATTTAGGACATCCGCCATTCTATGAGTCTGCTGAGTATCTCACTTCCCATGTTGGATCACTCTCCCCTTTATTTATTCTATCGGTTGGTGTTAGCAGATACTAGACTTGTTTATGTGCTCCCTTTGACTCTTAGTCCTTTCATTATGATCAATTGTGAACTGAAATTGATCACTTGGAATAGTGAGATGGCATTGGCACATGCCACCTTGATGGGATTGAATTGGAATCCCCTCATTTGTCCATAGCTTTGAACAGTTCAAGCCAGTGCAAGCTCTTCTCCAAACTCACTTTCTTATTGACTTCAAAAAGTCCTGTACCTTTTCCAAATTTTCTAATTTTACTTTGTGATCAACTTACATTGCATTCATATTATGCTCATTGTCTCTGACAATCACTGATGTTTACAAGATAGCTGGAGACTGAGGCTAGTGACAGCTTACAAAGAATATTTGAGTGAAGACTGATTTTAAAGTTTCTTAGTCACTGCTTTTGTGTCCCCCAGCTTACTAACCACCAGAGTCCCTGTTACCAAAAGCATAGCTAAGAAGTTTTCTGAGAAGCTTTGATGAATAGGAAAGTAACAGAACAAGCAACCCCTGCTTCAAGGAGGGCAAGATAGCCATCCCCGAGCCAACAGCCTGGGGAGCCACAGGCACTCTGATGAGTGGCCCATCCACTCCTTGAGGTCAGAGATGTGGGTGTTCAAGGTGTGTCCTCTGTGGTTGTGCCAGAGTCCACATGGTGCGTGCTCAGTAAACATTCCTTAAACTACTATAAAGTACAGTTGAAGGAGAAGCAACACACATCAGAAAGGTAGAATGGGAACTGGGCCTACCAGGTAAGATTCAGATGAAGAAAAGGGGAAAACAGCCATGGAAGGAAGTATATTTTCCAGCAGATTCTTTGCCTCTGGGGGACAGTCTATGTGTTCCAGTAAGAGTGCCACCCAATTTTTCACTCTTCTAATCTCCATCCCTTGTTAGAGTTTATGGGGATTTCTTGAGAGTGCACCACTGACTCATCAAGATTCATGCATAATCTCTCATCATGTCTGTTTAAACTTTTCCTACTGGAACATGCAGCTAACCAATGCAAAGATTCCACTCTGGGTAGAAGTGATTGAAGTGGATAGAACTGTTTTAGTCATGTATTTGTCAGGTGAATGAAGGCTTAGACAGAAGCACGTGTGGACTTTTCCGTTCATTCATAGACTATGAAAGCTTGAAGGGAATTGCATTATCTCATACAATGCTACCCATTCCATTGCTCATATTTCAGCTGATTTCAGAGAGTATATGGATGAACTTTCAAAAATATTTTATAGTTATTTTACCTTTTCATGCATATTAGAAAAACCTATCCATACACATGAATCTGGTGACTTCATAAATGCTATTGCTTCAGAAGACACTGCAGTTAATTTTTTATTTTAAAAGTTAGTCACAGTAAAGAAAAAGCATTAGTTCTAGTGCAAGTGCTATGTGACTTATGGCAACAGATAACGCTTCTCTCGCACTTGTCCCACATCAGCCATTATTCTGACCTATTTACTTGTGTGATTCTCAAAACCATCCCCATTTTGCAGAAGAGGAAACTGAGGCATTTGGCTGAGCTCACATAGCTAGTACATGGCAGAGCCGAGATCACAGCACAGGGAATGTGGGGCCAAAGGCCCCCGTCATAGCCACTATGCTAAGCATGTGGTGGGGAAACACTAACAGTTCACCTACTCCCTACTCCTCCTCTCAGCTTTACAGAGTAGTCCAAGCCTCAAAGAAGTTAAATTATGTGCTCAAGGTCAACAGCAAGTTACTCAGAGAGCTACTGCTGGGTTTCAGTCTACCCCAGGCTCAGATCTGGCACTCCTACCACTCTACCATTGTCTTCTTTGATCAGAACACTTGGTGGGGATTAACACAGAAGGTCAGAACTGGCTTCCTGGGCACAGGACCGGAACTCAAGGTCCCACATTTGGCTTAGTGCTCTTGAGCTCTTAAGATATTCCAAATTAGAGAATGCACATTTTCATTTTACCACGTAAACCCTATGGGTTCTGGAGAGCCAGAGGCATTTTGCACAAAATGGGAAGGTGGCAGGGCCCTTGCCTTTGGAATCCAGCAGCGCCACAGTGAAATCACAGTTTGTCACCTCCTTGTCTGTGACTCTGGGAAATTCAGTCATCTTCTTTCAGCCTCAGTTGACTTATCTGTAAAAATGCAAGTAATTCTGTCAGTGTTGAACTGATTGATTTAATAAGCAATCAATTGAGGAAAAGCAATAAGAATGGGGAAAGCAATAATATTGATTTCCTGCCTTTAAAAAACAAACTACAGTGAGCCATCGTCCTTCAGTGCAGACTGAGTGACTATCATGCCCAAGCACGAGGTGAACCTGTGCTCATCCAGGCTGCCTTTCCAGTTGTCAGGCAGAGAACTCCCTGAGCGAGGGACCACCTCCAAACTCCCTAAAAATCTGCGCCTCGCTTGCTCACTCGGGAGGACGCCTCCCTGCCCAGGGGCCGGGGGCCCAGAGGGCATAGGTGCCTGCAAGTCAGGACGCCCAGGAGATGGCCCTGCACGGTCGGCAAGCTGGGGAGGGGCATCCGCAGCTCACCCCGTGGGTATCAGGACTTCGAGGGCTGCCGTAAGACCACGATTCACCCAGAACGAAGATTCTCAACCCAGGCTCCACCCCCCCACCCTGCCCCCACGGAGACTTTCTGATTCAGCTGGTCTGGTGTGGCCAGGTATTGGGTGTCTTTGAAAGCTCCCACAGGCAATTTTAATGTGCAGCCAGGTTTACATGGATCTAAACCAGTGGTTTGCAGACCACTGCATCAGTACCTCCAGCAAACTAGTTAGAAATCCAATTCTGAACTGCATCCCAGACCACCCAAATCAAAATGTCTGGGGGCAATGTAGGCCTTAACAAGTCTTCCAGGGGATTCTAACACGCGCTCAAGTTTGACAGCCATTGCCCTAGAGAGAAGGAGAAAAGATGATCAAGCAGGACACATAAGAGGATTACAGAAAGTACATTTTCAGGATGGCCCTGCACCCGCACGGGAGACCAGGAGGAGGCACCTGGCTCCTGGCTTCGGATCAGCGCAGCACGCCAGCGGTAGCAGACATTTGGGAGGTGAACCAATGGGAGGAAGACCTTTCTCTCTCTCTCTCTCTCTCTCTCTCACTGTCTAACTCTGCCTGTCAAAAAAAAAAAAAAAAAAAAAAAAACCACTTCATTTTCAAAAAAAATGCATATGTAAAATATGCCTCGCCACAAACCCAAATTGGCAAATAACATTTTTCATGGTCCTATAGAATAAATACCCCACCTCTATCAGATGTTTCTTCTTCCTCTCTCTGTGAATAGCTTACCTTTTCCTGGGAGAACAGTAAAGATGTTTGTAAATGAAGC